TTTACACAATGGGGGAGGCAGTGGACTAGTGCGTTGGTGTTCGGATCAGGGGGTCAAAGGTTCAAACCCCACTGCAGTCAGCATGTCGTTGTGTCCCTGGGCAAGACACTTCACCCTAAATTGCTCGTGTGGGGATTGCCCACAGTATTGAGTATGTAAGTCGGTTTGGATAAAAGCGTCTAACAAGTAACATATAATGTTTGTGAAAGTGTGATAGTGTGTGCCTGTGATAGTATGTTTGTGTGCGTGCCTTTTGTTGTCACCCATTAGCTGACAAATCCCTGCGCCACCTCAATGCTCAGTCATACGGGCCCTCAAAGGGATCTCTCACACACATAGAGAAACAATGCAATCCCCTTTTAAGATACAGACACCTTGATGTCAGACATTTGGCAGTGGATGAGGAGTTCCTTATCTCAAGATCAAAACAACCAGAAAAAAAGACAAGGCGAGGGAAAAAACTGAAAAAGGACAGAAGAATAAAAATAAGTCTTCTTTCGTCAGATAGCGAGGCAATGCTAACTTTTTCTTTTGTTTCTTTCCCCCTCTAGAGTTAAATCACAAAACACCAGAACAACAGTGATGAGAAAGCTGACAAGACAGCAGGGGAGCAGTGGCTCTGGAAGTTGAAAAGGAATAAAGAGAGCAAAGAAGCAGCTGGCACTGCGCAGACCTTCACAGCAGAGCACAAAGCACTCAGAGCACCAGATTTATGCAGGAAACAGAAGGGATAAGTGCTTATTATGTGGTCCAACACAATGTGGAGGTCAGAGGAATCTCAATATGACTTTCATATGTCTGTTAGAAAAGGCCAAATTCAGACGTTTGGTTCTGCATGTTGGATTCTCATTACGGACTGACCTCCTAATGCAGATAGGAATACGTAAAGACCAAAGAGAAGAAGAAGAAGCAGGTTTTATGATTTATAGTGCCATATTAAAGAAATAGTTGGATTGACTTACTTTTTTGAAAAGAGTAAAATGTCTGTAAAATATAAAGCCTGGACCAAAGGAAAACAGTTAGCTTAGTTCTGTCCAAAGGTTGAAATAAATCCACCAACTATCACCTGTAATGCTGACTTAAAACATGTTATATCTTGTTTTTTTAATCTGTTTAAAACAAAAAGTGGAAAAACCAAAGGTTGCGGTACAGCGGCGATTATTCGGCGGGCTATTTCTTGGCGAGGAGCGCCGACTTCTTGGAGTCTCCGCTGATTGCCTTGCAATCTGATCGGACCATAAAAGATTTTGAAACCTTGGTTGAACATATAAAATAGTGTCTAAACTGTTTGACAAAAGTATGACGGGAAATAAAATGGGGAATGATTTCTCTGCAAAAGCCACAAAGACAGAAACCCAACGCAAGTAAGCTGAGCAAAGGTTCACAGCTGTCTGTCTCAATGACGCTGAAACTTTGCTCCAACGTTTTTCCTGTTTGCTGAGCTAGCCTGGGACTTGAACTCAGATTTGGTATCGTGGCAAGACTATAATATAAGGTGCAGGAAAGAAACAATAATAGTTCTTCTTCAAAGAGGCAGTGATGTGTCAGAGAAAGAGAGCAGAGGGAAAGTCAAGGTGTCTCCTTCAAAGCCAGACTGACATGATGAGAATGATTAAAAACAGAGTTTATGACAGAGCGAAGTACATGAGAGGATGTCCCGATGCAAGGACAAGAGAGTTTGACAATGAAGGAGAGAGCGAGAATGAGCGAGAGAGAGACAGTGATGGAGGAAGAGAAATAGGCGTGCAGTACTAACCTTGAGGCAAAACTGGGTAGAGCAGGAGACAGCGTTGCATTGTAAAGATAAAAGAAGGGGAGAGAGAGAGAGAAGGAGAGGGAAAGGTGAGAGGGAAGACAGTAGTTGAGTGCTAGGTTAGCCGGCTTGATCACTCTTCAAAGAGGAAGGAGATGAGAGACGGAGGAAGTGACATCTACAGAGACAGAATTAACCAAAGAGACACACAAACAGGGAGACGTGCGTGAACAAGCAAGACAGGCAGACAGACAGTCACATAGACAGGGTAGGTGCAACCTTTTCTTTATTAAAGGCCCGATCACCTCACATGATCTCTAAGAACATTTAGACACATACACATACAAAACTGCAATCTCAAACCATAGAAAATCGAGCAATTAGCCAATCAAAGCACAAGCTGAGAGCGTGCTCACTATGAATTATTTCTTCTGGAAGGGTTTTCACATTGCACATCATCTTTTTTTCCCCTTCCCGCAGGGGCCACTTGAAAAGTAGGCAGCTCTTAGATTTGTGGTCTTCACCGAAAGGCATATGCATGTAATCATTTAGATATGAAATGTGAAGAAAATCCACTTCCTAAGTTGGTTGACCCCAAAAGCATTCCACACAATCACTCCTCGTGTGTTTGGTTTGCACTGGCAAAGCTCAAACTCCAGGGTGAGCTTATGCCTGGGAACGCACGCTAATGACAGCGTGCCAGAGACAAATTGTCCATTACAGAACAATATAACACGCAATAAACTTCTCTAATTTCCCATTACTCAGGTTTATACTCCACGTCTCTCTAAACCTCCTTCAGTTCTCTCCCTTTTTCTTCTCCTTCCATGTCTGTCGGTTTTTATTCTCTGTTTCTCTCCCCTCAGTTTTATTTAATTACTCACTGCTTGTTATTCTCCTTCCGCTTCCACCACCTTGCTTTCCCTTTTCCTCTTTCTTTCCCTCTCTATGTTTCTTACTTTTCCGTCTTACACTGCCCAGCTGGGATAAATAGCCCTGGGATATAGTCACTATTAGTACACTTTATATTACAGGGTCAATGACTACAGGTTGAAGAAGTAGCTAAATATATTATAAGTTTCTTAAACTATTTCCTAATATTTTCAATTCATAGCTATCCTGACCACCATATTTTAAAATAAACAAATACTAACAATTGTGATCAGCCAGTATACAAACCAGATGCTTGAAAATGTCTCAATTTAACCTTGCCAGAAGTTTTTTGAGGAAGGAGGAAGCACTTAAAAAAAACAGTACATACAAATTCAGTATGTACTAATCCCCTCCCTAAAAGACTGATTGTCTACACCTTAGAAAATATAGCCAAGGTAGACCTCCAAATGTCCGAGATCATAACCTCTACATTTAAGATATTTGGAGGTCGGTATATGTTTAAAACTTTCCAAAATCAAATACACAATAGCCTAAGAACTTAACAGTGTTTGCCTGTTCCAAAGTAAGCTGCAATTGTAAGCATAACTAACTAATAACTTAGCATCTATAATAGCATATGAGAAGAGTAATCTGAAAAGTCTGATCTAACATTGTTCTTCATTTATGTGCACATCAAGACCCCTTATACAACATTCTAGTTTTCAATTATACTTAAACTAAAAAGTAAGGTGGATACAGTGTTTTTAAGCAATTTATGGCAATTTATTTGCTTAAGTAGCTAGCTACAGATCATAAAAGCTACACGCGACTGAGGTCATTTGAGCTGGTAAAATGTATAGTTGTTGTCTATATATTACAGACAACAACTATTGCTGGGTGTGGAATAAAGGACCTATTTTTAAGAACACCTCATATATTTTGAGTGGTAAATTAAAGTGGTTTTGTTGTTGAGGATGGAAAGATTGAATGGCTTAGCATGAGAGGGACGGGGCGTAGCATGGTTCAGTCAGTTCTGCCCTTTTCATGACTGTGTTTCACCAAGTCAGAACTTAACCGCAGCCTTAACTTAGCCAGGGGTAGTTTCCCTCATTAGACATCTAATAGCTAAATAAAACCACTAAATGTTAAGATGTATAAAGTACATACTGCCTTACACCCTAATATAACCTCTACAAACCACTGTGTGTGTGCCAGTGTGTTAAAGGAAAGTTACATTCCCTCATTAAAATCTACTTAATCTTAATTTTATTATTACAAGATATTGTTCTCAAACGTACCGCACTAAGCCAAGACTTAATACATTTCCTTCTTCCTAAGAGCTGCTTGCAAAGATCAGATATTAAATATCAGATGTAGAGGAGCCTTTATTTGTATTATAATCAACAGGGAGGATGAAACATCTTTCATTTTCCTAAAAAGTCCCACATGTTACCCCTTCTGACATTTTGAATGGTTATTAAGTTGCACTTCAATGTTATCCACAAAGCTAGTGCTGCAGTAATCTGGAGGCTGCATCTGGGGCTCTAGGCAGACCAAATAACAAACAGTTAAAACACCCAGCGGGAGGTGAGGTGCTGCTGAATTATGAATGGTCTAGGATTTCTACTGGCCAGTTGGACTAGTGGGGAAACATTGAACTCCCTAAAATCATTAACGCACATTAGTCTTACAGTCAAGCTACTGACAGACAGAAAGAGCGAGGGTAGAGATTGTTTTTAAGGAAGAAACGAAAATCAAAGGCATTGAGAGGCAGAAGGACCAGTTTATTTCAACATATATCTTTAAAACATTATTATTTGACTGTTGGCCATGAGATAAAGACACCTAACCCTGCGTAAGGGGCTGTCATTGGTTAATGAGTGATCTAATTCCGTTTTTTATAAATACTCATAAACCGACACACAGACAGATCAACAGAAAGAAACAGACGTTCGGGTAGAAAGGTAAACACAGAGGCAGGCAGGCAGGCATGCAGACAAATATACTCAGATATAGAAATACAGGTTAAGGTTAAGACTAGTTTATAAGGTACATACATAGGCACACGTAAATAGTGAGGAACAGACAAGTTAAGTGAAAATACACAGACAGGTTAAAAATTAGTAAGAAACCCATTCCTATTAGCATAAAATAAATACAAAAACTGAATGAACTTCCCAGAGTCCTAATGAAAGAAAAAGAGTGTGTTAAACTGCCAGTCAGGCATCTTGGGCTGAAAGTAAAACAAAAGTGAAGTGTGAAAAACAGAGCCACTAAATGAAAGAGTTGCATCATTGACAGGAGCAGCGGCTCAGAGAGCGTCATGCTCTGCAGCAGACTGTGCCCTCCTTTTACAAACGGCTGTGAGCAGGTTGGTGCGGCATACTGCAGAACAACAGACGGAGAAACCTGCTGCTGGTGCACAGATGTGTGAGAGAGCAACTCCTGCTAAAGACTGACCTTCAGGAGGCTTTGCCAACTGTCCAAATGAGCTGCACAGAGGCTCAATCAATGCTGCAACTCTTTGATGGTGTTTATTAGTGATCATACTCAGCTCTGTCCCATGTGGAAGAGCATTGGGAAACATCAGAAATCCCTTCACACGTTTCTTTCCATTGCCAATTCATCTGCTGATTAGTTTCTAGTATTATATTGTTTTGTCTACAAAATGTCAGAAAACATAAAAAATATACATAATAATTTCACAGAACTCAAAGTAACCTGATTGAATAGCTTGTTTTTCCCCAAAATATATTCAATACCATTGAATACCATACAACAAGTTCATTATTTTGGTATATCTGAAATAAAAATACCTTGAATGTTAAAACTGATTTACTGTATGTGAGTTTTTAACTAATTTAACTAATTTCCAATGGGAAAAAATAAGGCACAAATACATTTTTGAAAGTATTTAATTCCACATAACTTTTCCACATGGGACTGGTTGCTTTCATAGTGCTGTTATTTCCTGCCCTGTGACAAGCAGAGTGAGTTTTAGTCGTGCATCTTTCTAAACGCCTGACAGGGCCACCAGCCACTCACGTGCCCAGGTAGTCCCACACCAGCCCCCCCATTGGCTGCTGAGAGGCAGCAGGGGGAGGGGCCTGTTTTCCCGACTGTTGAGGACGCCACAGATGAGAAGCAGAGGGGTTTCTGGGGCGGGACGTCGGAGCGCACACACACACAAACAAACATAAACACACTCACGCAGATGCAGAATCACATGAAGGTATACATATGTATGCATACACACATGTGATGATGCAGAATGAGAGGAATAAGAAAAGAAGAGTGATAGCAGAGGAAATAAAGCCGAATGGAAAGAGAAATTGGGAAGAAAATAGGGAGAGGAAGGGGTGAGAAGAAGGGAAGACTAATGGATTAGATCTACAGGGAAGATTACCATTGTCTCCAACAGTCTGTAGCTTAAACTGAGTGGAAAATGGACAACAAAGTGGAAACCAATCCAGAGTTAAAGGATCTATTTCACATGTGAAGATAGCTTTGGAGGTGTCATACTGATTCAGGTTAACAGGAGAAAGAGATCATGCAGAGGTTCAGTCAGTTTTGTTGTCCCCGCTCTCTTACCTCTCCAGCTCGTTGATCTTTTTCTCCTTGTCGTTCTTTTCGTTCTCCATCTCCCTGAGGATCTCCAGAAGTCTCTCCACCTCGGACTGGGCCCTCGCAGCGTCCTCTTTGTGCTGGGACACTTCCTCCTCCAGGCCGGAGATACGTTCGGAGAGTTCAGAGCTGGTGTGGGAATCTGCACCTGCATTCTGAGCCTGGAACAGAGAAATACATTATTATAAATAAACCGAGCGTTATCTTAACGAAATAGCCGTCTTTTGATAGAAGTGATCAGGTCAAACTGAAAACTAATAACCACATCTGTGCTCACACTGACAATGGTAACAAGCTGATGTTTAACAGCTCTAATGTTTCTCATGTTCACCGTACTAGATTAACATGCCAGCATTTTGTAATAAGCACTTAACACACAGAAATACAGCTGAGGCTGATGGGAATGCCATGCGTGTATTTATAAAGTAAGAAGTGAAAATAATTCAACTGAGTTGCAGTGTCTTTCTTCTTTCTGTTGCTCTACACAGAAGAAGCCAAAAAACTAGAAAAAGGAAGAAATGAAATATAACAAAGAAAAAGAAAGAACAAGTTATAACCAGCTTAGAGGTTAGAACAGCTGTGTGCGTTTCCCAGAAGCAAATGTTGCTCTTGGGACAGATTGACTTTGTGTGTGTCTGTGTGCACACGCCTAGGACCCACAATACATAAACCCTATTAGTTTTGGAAGTTTTTACAGGTCTTTATGTGGAGAAGAAATGTTTGGGTGTCTGACGATATTATAGGAGGATCTGGGTGGAGGGAAGAGGCAGAGAGAGAAAGGCAAATAAGAAAGGAAAAAAGAAACACTTCAAGCATTCACAAAGTCTATCAATTCACACAGACACGTCTTCTTTCCATCCATGGTAACAGAAAGAGACTAACAAATAAACTCTGATGAGAGGAACACCAGAGATCCACAGACACCTTCATATACATTCTTTCTCTCTGTCACACACACAGATTCACACACACTGCGAGGGTGTGGTGGTGCTGCTGCTGTCTTCTCCACTGTGAGAATGACTGTAAGGCTGTCAGCAAGCCATCACACACACACCATTTTACTGGCTGCTGTGTGGGAGAGAATATGAGATATGCACACAAACCCACACACACCCACACACACACACACGCCCACGCCCACACACACACACACACACACCCACCCACACGCACCACGCCCACACGCACATACACACACCCACACGCACACGCACACACACACACACACACACACACGCCCACGCCCACACACACAAACACACACCCACACGCCCACGCCCACACGCACATACACACACCCACACGCACACGCACACACACACACACACACACACACACACACACACACACACACATATCCAATCATCTCTCTTGAAGAATAGTTAAGGGAAAACAATGAGTGAAAAACGGGAGGTTGTTTTTTTTAAATCCTCAATGTTTTTGTGTTTCTGTGTGTATTTTTTCCCAACGGAGAAACATATAATTGACGTCTGTGATTGGTAATTGTGGTCAGTCCATCAAAAACGTAATTAGATCAAAAACGGGTGTTCCATAATGTTTTGGCCACATGTTTTGGCACAGATGTAGCTTAAGACGGGTGCCAATTTATGCAACCTACGCCATGTCAATTTCATGCTTATATAAAACCATTAAATTCCCCTTTTCCACACTTTCAGCCAGATCTACAGGCACACTACAAGAGAAATGTTCTAATAAAAGCCAGCGTCTTACTGATGAACTGACCTTCTTGAGTTGGTTCTCCAGTTTGACACACTCCTCTTTCTTCTGCTCCAGGCCGATCTCTAGAGTCTTCAGCCGGTTGTCCTTCTTCAGAGTGTTGGAGGCCAGAGAGGAAGCCTTCTCCTTCAGATCCAACACTGAAGTCTGAAAGGAACAAAGATAGCAAGGGAAAGAGTAAAAAGGAGGGAATCAACTTTGAGTTAGTGCTAAACACTAAGCAGCTCTACTGAAGCAGTACATTTAAAGAGGTGCTATTATTCTCATGTTCAGGTTCATATTAGTTTGTAGTATGCAGAATTCAATGATTTGCCAATTCCTTTCCACCTATATTCAATTAAATACACAACTGATCAACTTTATGTTTTTTTGCAAATATTCACTCATTTTGAATTAGATGCCTGCTACATGTTCTAAAAAGCTGGGACGGGCATGATTACCACTGTGTTACATCACCTTCCTTTTAACAACAATCAATAAGTATTTGGGAAGTGAGGACTACATTTTAAAGCTTTGTAGGTGGAATTGTTTCCCCTTTTTGCTTGATGTATGACTTCAGTTGCTCAACAGGGAGACAGGTCTGGACTGCAGGCAGGCCAGTCTAGTACCCCCACTCTTTCACTACGAAGCCACGCTGTTATAACCCTTCAGAATGTGGTTTCGCCC